CCAAGATAGCTCAGCGCATCGTTTTCCCCCACGTCCGCATTGTGCCTTTATATTACCCGTTACATTACTGAATTGAGAAGGAGTCGTATTTGGGCCTTCGTCGGGCTGGACAACATGTAATTAAACTCTCCCTCTCTCTCTTCTAAATATACCGTGCTCTTACAACCAAATATTTATTCACCAATTGCAGATGATATTGTATTAGGCGAAATTCTAGTTTAAAAGAACCAATCAAAGACAATAATTATGATACATTTTAACCCACTCAGTACCAGGACGATAAATGGAGGGATGGTTAATGTATGAGTGAAATTTTTAATTTCCGCGAGTCGCACAAAACTTCCTTTGATTTTTATTTGACACGGTCTAGCTTGCTACAAAAGTTTGGAAAAGACATCGCTCACGCTCTTTTGACTCAAAACCAGACATCTGCAAGACAACCATTGCAGGTGGTCCAAGGACTTCACCTTCAAGGAATTTTAACGACTCGACTCCAAGTCACAAGTCAATGGGTGTGTATCAGCAACAGCAGAGTTCGGAGCCTCATAGTCGTTCGAAGGAGGGTAAGAAAGTTTCAAGCAAAAACACAATGCATGCATATTACTGGTCTGCTAAAAAAAAAAGTAGAACACAAATAATGGTCATTTCTAAACATCATAACATGCATTAAAACCCCCAATCCAAGGCGATGAAGTAAATTATGACTGTGTAAACCCCTTTTATTTATTTTTCAACCCCAAAGCACCCCGTACATGTTACTATAAACACGGCTTATGAGATCTAAAAGTACTAAAAGACAAACAAAAAGAAACAAAAGCTGAAACGTAGATCCCAAGATATTTTGTCTCGTCTGTTTCTTCAAGGACAGTGCCCATCATGTTGTAGTTTGTCTTTCCTGGATGTTTGCCTCTAGTAAGACGCAGAGTGCTACATTTGGCTGGGTTAAACCTCATCCCCCAATTTTGGGCCCAAACCATCTGGTCTAGATCTTTTTGGAGAACAGTTTCGTCATCAGGTGATTTGACGGTGTTAAAAAGCAGGCAGTTATCAGCAAAAAGTCTTGTGCAGCTCTTGACGTTTTCATGGATGTCAGTTATCAGTACGAGGAACAGATGAGGACCCAACATTGTGCCCTGTGGAGCACCGCGGAGTACAGGCTGCCAATCCGATGACACGCCATTTACCACCACCCTCTGGAATCGATTTGTCAGGAATGAACGAATCCATCTTTGAGTCTTGTATCTGACGCCGTAGTGATCCAACTTGAGGAGTAGACGGTGGTGAGGCATGGCATCGAACGCTTTCGAGAAGTCAAGTATTGCCATATCTGTGTTAAATTTTTTGTCCAAGTTCATGGTGAGGTCGTGAGCAGTCAGTATAAGCTGTGTCTCGCATAATCCAGCTTTTCGGAAGGCATGCTGGTTTTTAGCAAGTATACTATTTTTAGTGAAGTGACGCATGATCTTGCTGTCGATTATATGCTCGAGTAGCTTGCAACAATTACAAGTCAAGGATACAGGTCTATAGTTTGCTGGGTCTGTGGTGCTACCCTTCTTGTAGATGGGGGTGATGTTGGCTCCTCTCCAATCCAATGGGTGGTCACCAGTGTTAAAGGTAATACAAAGTTTCGGGAATTTTGAAAATTGGGTGGATAGTAATTCTTTACAATTTTTATACATTTGGATGCCCCTGTGGATGTATTATAAGCACTACAAAATTTAGCCCCTAAAACACTTCTGCTTTCGAGAAAAAATTGAATATAAAAATTCACCGGTGCTCCCGGTAAATTTATATAAATTTTCAAATAGCGCCTACAGCCATACAATGGTAGCTGCGACCATGAAAATGTCCCAATATGTAGTTGTGATATATAATTTCCAAACGGGAATAGCTAATCGGTCGATTTTAGTCAAGAAACATCGTTTTATAGCTTAATTATTATCTTGACCTTAAGATGGAGCTATACAACATAAAGAATTTATTATTTACAATTTCATAAGTTTAGACTCGATTTCGACTGCGACAACAATCACTGAATATTGTAGGATCGCATATGCTTTCAATATGTTCATTTGAACCAAATTCATGACCCCATATCAAAACTTTGTATTACCTTTAAGAGACTGTTGGAAGATAAATTGAAGGACAGGAGCAATTTCATGGGCGGTTTTCTTTAGAATCTGGTTTGGTATCTGGTCTGGACCAATTGCTTTGGAAGTGTTGATCTTTAACAGGAGCTTCTCTACACCTGCAGTGGTGATGTCGAAGTCAGGCATGCTGGGAACTTCACTTGGTGGCAAAGTCGGCATTGAAGCAGGATCAATGTTTTCCCTCGTGAACACACTCTGGAACTGTTGGGCTAGAGCTTCTGCTTTCCCAGCATCGCTGCTGGTGAGGTTACCATTAACTTTCAGAGGTTGGATTCCAGTGGTGTCTTTTCGCCTAGATCTGACGTAGCGCCAGAAATCTTTCGGTTGCTCCAAGTTGACAATGGATTCAACATAGTGGTTGTGAGCGGTGCGTAGTGTCTTGTCGATTTGTTTCCTCACGCTGACAAACTTTTTCCACGCATCTTCATTGCCACTACTTCTGGCTTTGATGTACAGTTTTTCCTTCTTGCTGCAGAGTCGTTGTAGCTTTTGGGTAAACCAAGGAGTAGTTTATTTATTGCATCTCTGAACCATGACCAATTCTCTTCCACACTCTTCTTATCAGGTGTTTCAGCAAAGAAGTTGTCTCTCATGCCAGCAGTCTTTTGTTTCAGATACTCGTTTTCAACCTTCCTCCAGAGTGGTACATTACGCGGTGGTTTTGAAGAAAGCCTTACTTTATTGGACATATCGGCTAAGATGATGCAGTGATCACTAATTCCCGCACTAGGTCTTACGTAATAGTCAATAATAATGGGTGCATGGTTAGAAGTAGGTCGAGTGTATTTCCTGATCCATTTTGGTCGCTTCTGGTCTTGAAAGTCACAGTTTGCGTGAGATGGTTGTCATTAATAATCTGGAAAAGCGAGGACTGGAGGTTACCGCTTGGTACAATGAACTCCGGGTCTTTCCAACTAAGGTTTGGTACGTTAAAGTATCCTCCCAGGATGATGTAGGGCGACTAAGTAACATTCGTGATCTTAGACAGGCTCTCTCCTAGGTTTAAAATAGGAGTATGGTTGGTTTCAGATGGTCTGTAAAAACTGCCTATCAGGATATCTTGGTTGGGTAGAGATGCTCGGCACCACAGGAGCTCCGTATTTTCCGCTGCAAGGTCAGTACGCTCAAAACAAGGGATGGTTTTGTTTATGGCAACAAATACACCGCCTCCATGTGTATTTTTATCCTTTCTGAATACTTGTAGGTGGTCTGGGAAAATTTCTGATGTGAGGATGTCTTTCTCCAGCCAGGATTCGCTGCCAATCAAATTATCTGGTTGTTCGATGTCACCTACATTTTGTTGTTACGACTGGCTTGGGGCTTGGTCTTAGTATTCGGTGCATGGAGGGCGTGGTTGCAGTACCTTGTTGATAAAACTACCGGTGGTAGGGTTGGAGGTGCTATCTGCGTTAAACTTACCAGACTTGCCTACAACTGTCCACTCGTTACCTATTCTCTTGATCGTAATCATGCATGAAATAGATGAAATAAAAGTGCTCTGAACATTCACCCCCATTCTCCCATAAATGGAGTATGAGGAAAAACAGACACAGGAACAAATGAGAGAGAGAGAGAGAGGGGGGGAAGGGGGAGTTGCATGGAGTTGACAAGAAATGAAATGTGAGGGAGATAGAGAAGGTGACAGAAAACGAGGAGCTCTGGGAGGGAAGAGCTGAGGTAGCGTACAGGGTACAAAGAACAGTGACTGCCCGTGGTAAATAAAGACAAACGACAAAACGAACAAACAATGACAATGACATTACTCCCAATGGCCGTTGTAACTGAGGTATGATGATGGTTGTGGTGATGATGGTGTTGGTGGGGTTGATGGTGTTGGTGGTACTGATGATGGTGATGGTGGTGGTTAATGGTAGTGTGATACTTTCGGCAATGACGATGGTGATGATGGTAATGCATGTTTGTTTGTTTTTATTTCTGCGTTTTCAAAATAGAACATAATCATATACATAAAGTAACAATTTTTTCTTCATTTTACATAATTATACATTTTTAAGTACATTAGATAAGATGCATACAATAATGGCGATGATGATGGTGGTGATAATGGTGATGGAGATCATATTGCTCCGGTTTTCTCATTGTCGCTCAACGTAGCTAGTTCACCGTCACTACCAAACTAGAATGTTCCACTATGTTGCAGGATGTATATGCCATTGGGTATGACGTGTGGACCGGGCGGTGTGTTGGGGAGGGGAAGTGACAGTGTTCATGTGTGTGGTAATTGTATGTGTGTCAACAGTCTAATACATGACAGATGGCTAATCATAAATCTAAATCATAAATCTACAATGAAGAGTAAACTGTGTACATCACAGTCCACAGATAAATGTGCCTTGAACATATATAGCAGACGGCAATCGGCGGATCAGACGACACTTGATAGTGATTTTGTATATGAGATTGCTTTGCTAAATATAAAATACAAGAACCTTTTCCATATCTTTAAACTACCATTGATATCTGATAATTAAACAGTAAGTATATAATAAAGCTAACAAACTACATAATACAATGGAACACTTGACTGAAAGTAGGGGAGTTTGATGTGGTGCACAATGGCACCCCTCTGTAAATAATCGAATAGTCCATGGCGTTCATGAATATTCATGTTTTTGCTTACCTCGGCAAAATGCTTGCCTATACTAAATGGACAAATTACGGTGGGGAGTTGGCTGAAATGGACAGAATGAACAAATCAGAACTGATCTATGATAATTCATGCTTGTTATCCTTCTAGTCATGCTAGTCAAGTAGATTATACAATCTTTTACAGTTGAGAAAAGGAACAACTTTTGTTCATCATACCAACCTTTATTTTGCAGACGGCATAAAAGTTCACTGGGATTTTCTGACAGACAGTTCTCAAGAACTTACCCTTGAAGATAATGAAGTAGTAATATCCTGCGGCATCAGATTCTCGCCATCTGGAGCCAAGCTCAGCAAACCTATCAAGGTCACATTGAACCATAATGCACACTTCACCAATCCAAGACGGGCAGAGATCGTCTTCTACACCCGCAACAAAGGTCTGGGGCAATTACAGCGGGGACCTGACTAAAGCTCCTGTGCCAACAATAGTTCCAGGCTTTATTTCTTTATTTCAAAGTTATAGGCATATGATTAGGGTAACAATTGAATTCCAGGTTAGGTTTAGGCTTGGGGATATGGTTAGAATTAGGTATAGTGTAAATTCAATCGTTTAAGTTAAGGATTCGTGTATTGTAGGAAATTGAAGCGGAGCAATTGTCACAGGAGTAAGTATCATGTACCATTTACCGCAGCTCATATGCCTTTTTCATCAATCAAACAAACAATTTTTGACATAGAAATAATACCATAGAATATGAGTAAAATTATCGTTAACAATAGGTAAAATACATGTCACCTTCAGTTTTCTTTCATATTTGATTTTTGTTTAATTGTTTAAGTGATAACTTATTCATGTACCAGAAGATGATCGTATTGGAACATGGGGCATATGCCCCCCCCCCCCACCCCCACCCCATCCCCATCCTCCCCCTCCAAAAAAAAATATGGGGATCAGGAAGAAGAAAAGTTCTATTCCATAGTGAGAGTTGATGCATACATGCTGTCTCTCAATGATTTGTTGGATTATATATTCACCAATAACTTAGCATTGAAAAAAAAAACAATGACGAACAAGTTTCATGTGGAACAAATATTTGTGTTATAAATCTCGTTTGTATAGACTCAACAACTTTTGAGAGAATTCCGGCATCCACCGACGGTTGCCCACGTTGTGACGTCAGATCAAAGGACTTGGATATCTACGTAGATCATTTCAGTATTTGGTGGATTGTGGCCCTAATCACTCGGTACTTCGTCGGAAAGAGGGTCGAGTGCACACCATACGTAAGACCACCTGTCACGAAAGGGTTCACGCACGTAGTGATACTCTGCATATGTGACGATCTCTTGGATGTTATTAAGGTGAGACAGAGATAAGGGCGTTGGACCGTTGGTTTATAATTTTGGATGGGGGCGGGGGGGGGGGGGGGGTGGGTGATCGGTCGCAGGAAATATTCCAGCAAGTGAGTCGAAAATTTAACCCATATGCCGTTAAGGAGGCCTCAAAAAAATATAAATGAAGAAGAGAACGAGAAAGAAAAATATGTTTCATTTCCCAAAAAAGTTCTCTGAAAAAAAGAAGAAAAGAAAGTGAACACATTTCTGGCTATTTTATGATTTGATGACGACTGAATTAGTTGCTGTGTGTGTGTGGGGGGGGGGGGGGACACGTATTTTTTTCTGTCACGTAATTTGTAATTTAAGCCCTCTGGATTCATTCCTAGCATAGTAAAAAGAAAAATATATAAAATGTATATAGCTATGTACATATATATATATATATACAGTGCGTCCCAGAAAAAAACGAAACCGAGTATTATCGATGTTTTATCATAACTTAATCCCATTTATAATTGATAAATGACTCATATTTGGAAAGCTTAGGTTCTCCTCTTTCATTTGATGCAACTCATATAATACATATTTCACGCATAAGTGATTCAAATGAATTTGAAGAGAGGAAACCAAAAAGTTATTTGGCGGACGAATCTCCGTTTCGTTGACAATCAGCCATGCATGGAGTCTTTTGTCTACGGCTGATTGTCAATGAAATGGAGTTAAGTCTTTTGTCAACTCTGTTGCTACGGCAGGCACCCAGTGAAAACGAATTCGTTTGACAAAATTATGGAAATGCAAGCACTACTTCAAACAAACAGATTTTTTTTCATTCCTTGCTCATTTTTCCTAATTGAGGTGTCATATGAAAGGGCAGAACCTCATCTTTCTAAAAATGTGATTTTCTCCTTGAAACTCAGATACCGTCCGCCAAATGACTTTTTGGTTTCCTCTCTTCAAAGTCATTTTAATCACTCGTGCGTGAAAAATATATTATATGAGTTGCATCAAATGAAAGAGGGGAATCTAAGCTTTCCAAATATGTGTCATTTATCAACTATAAATGTGATTAAGTTATGATAAAACATCGATAATTCTCGGTTTCGTTTTTTTCTGGGACGTACTGTACAATGAAACCTGTCTATAAAGACCACCTAAGGGAGACAAGACAAGTGGTCTTTATGTACAAGTGCCTAAAGCACATGTTTCAATGAAAAACGAGAATGGTTTGACTGTATAAAGCTTTCTCTCTTTCTTGATATATATATATATAGAGAGAGAGAGAGAGAGAAAAAAAAAAGAAATGAAGAGAAACAGATATTGAGAGAGGGAGGTCTTATTTACATTACATTATTTTTTGCTCCAACAGAAAACAAACGAAAAAATGGCGAAGCACATAATACTCTCTCCGCCCCAGCAAATGTTCGTAGAATGGAGGTGTGGTGATATCAAAATCGAGTTGTTCGATGGCCCAACGGATAATGAAAAGAAGGTTGAAGAAAGGGTATGTTGTGTATTTCAAAGGTATATGGATAATTAAATACATTAGGCCTTTTTTTAAATGTAATGACATTTAACGCAGAAGCCTAATGATTCCCCTACCTAGCAATTATTGGACACAGTGCCCACCCATCCCTTTCGTTTTCAAGTAGCCCTAAAGTGCCTCTTTTTACATAGGAAAAGTGTCCCCTTTTACTTCAGATACATGTATCTTGGACCATGTAAAGAGAGAAAAACACATTGGAATCGTTCCTGATAATGTAATCATAATGTGGGGTATATACCATTGTCAAAACAAACAAAAAATTCGCTTTGAGGTTTCCTTTGTAGGTGACCCTTTTCCCCCAGAAAGTGCCCTTTTTGCTGGTGCCCCCTCCCCACTTTCAATGACGCTCCGCCGTCCCGGGCCTGCTAAAACCCTTTAGCATCAGGGGGCTCCGCCCCTTGGACTCCACACCAAGTTACTCCACGCTCTACCAAGTCGTGAATATCCCCCCCCCCCCCACTTTAAAAAACGATCCATGAGGCTTGCATATTATGGGCAGCCCAAAACAGGGCATTTCGAAGCCGGATTTATTAAATATTTCAAGGTGCCATTTTGGACGCTATTTAATACCCTGCATGATTATGTTAGTATGGAAGGCCATTTGGGCCATAGAGCTCGCGTCATGACGTTTTCTTCATTATTTACTCAAATCCCTTTCGTTTTGCGAGCAGTGCTTGCGAGCCTTATCTAGGTTCCTTCCTCGATAATGATTTCTTTCAAACTTCGTATCTGAGATACTAACTAGTCCACACGTGTTGTCTTATCTAGCTGTGTGTAGGCCTACATCAGAAAATAGGAGGAGAGGCTGGGGGCCTCACCTTGATGGCCGTCCACTGCAGCCAAGCAGCACAGCTAGATACGGCATAGTTGGTCAAGCGCAGCTCAATCCTGTTTGACTAACCACATGACTGTGTGCTCAGTGTATAGACTCACTGAAATGTTAACCAGTCATGTCATTGATTTCCTTAAAGAGAGGTCCGACAACAAGTGGTTAGAGTTAGGGTGCGTTTAATCGACACTTTTTCACCCTAGAATCACGGTTTCTAAAGACGTTTAGTTCAAAACGCAATGCGTCCAAGCGATTTTTTTCGTCGGTCGTAAAAATAAACGTGTTTGAAAACACAAACATGAAACGCTGAAAAAGATGCGTTTTGTATCATGATTCTGCAGAATCACGGTCGCTAAAATTCGATTGAACGGACGGAGTTCTCAATCATGATTGTATGACGGAGCCTGTTCCGGTTTGGGCAAAAACCGCGCGCCTGCTTTTCATGCAATTTGCGTTTACTATACCATGCTCTTTATCGTGGCCTTTTCCGTTATGTTATACTTTGTTTTCCTTCTATCTTTTTCTCTTTCTGTCTTTCCTTATGTTATTCTTTGTTTCTTCCTTCTATTCTTATGTTATTCTTTGTTTTTTCCTTCTATCACCTTCTCTTATGTTATTCTTTATTTTTATAATTCTATCACTTTCTCTCATGTTATTCTTTGTTTTAATCATTCTATCACTTTCTCTTTTTGTCTTTCCTTATGTTATTCTTTGTTTTTATCATTCTATCACTTTCTCTTTTTGTCTTTCCTTATGTTATTCTTTGTTTCTTCCTTGTATCACATTCTCTTTTTGTCTTTCATTATGTTATTCTTTGTTTCTTCCTTTTATTCTTATGTTATTCTTTGTTTTTTCCTTCTATCACTTTCTCTTTTGTTATTCTTTGTTTCTTCCTTCTATTCTTATGTTAATCTTTTGTTTTTTTTCCTTCTATCAGCTTTTTTAATGTTATTCTTTGTTTTTTCCTTCTATCACCTTCTCTTATGTTATTCTTTGTTTTTATAATTCTATCACAGTCTCTTATGTTATTCTTTGTTTTAATCATTCTATCACTTTCTCTTTCTGTCTTTCCTTATGTTATTCTTTGTTTCTTCCTTGTATCACATTCTCTTTTTGTCTTTTATTATGTTATTCTTTGTTTTTTCCTTCAATCACCTTCTCTTATGTTATTCTTTGTTTTTATAATTCTATCACTTTCTCTTTTGTTAGTTTTTGTTTCTTCCTTCTATTCTTATGTTAATCTTTGTGTTGTTTCCTTCTATCAGCTTTTTTAATGTAATTCTTTGTTTTAAGCATTCTATCACTTTCTCTCTCTGTCTTTCCTTATGTTATTCTTTGTTCCTTCCTTCTATCACCTTCTCTTATGTTATTCTTTGTTTTTTATAATTCTATCACTTTCTCTTTTGTTATTCTTTGTTTCAATCATTCTATCACTTTCTCTTTCTGTCTTTCCTTATGTTATTTTTTGTTTCTTCCTTCCATCACCTTCTCATTCTTTGTTTTATTATTGCGATCTATGCTCAAAACAGCAGTCGACAGTCGCCCGTAAACAATTCCAAAAAGCGCGCGCCGAAGTTGACCTATACTTCCTGGGTCACACTGCGAGTGTGATCCGCAGTGGCTGGGCTCGAAATGAGCTAGAATCAGCGTTGATGAAAAATCGCTTCAACGCTAACCGCAGTGACCTTGTTTTTTGTAACGGCGTTTTGATTTGTGATTCATGTTTGTGATTCTAGCTTCGAAAATTCGATTGAACGCACCCTTAGACCACAAAGAAAAAACGCACACTGGAGAGAAACCTTTCAAGTGCAAACATTGTGAGAAGATATTCAACTCGTCTGGTAACTTAAAGGGAGAGGTTCGTCAGTTTCCATGTGCAAAAGGCCATAATTCGCCGACACCAGACTTGGTGGAAATACCATTAATATGAGTACAAATCTGCACACGGCAAACCCGTAGGCCAATCGAAAATTCTCCCCTAGTCTTTCGGAGCAAGTAGGTCCATGCTCGAAGAATCTTCGGGTGAGGGAAAGCAGAGCACTACATAAGGTATAATGGCCATAAAACTGAAGGCTAACCCTGGTGATTGACAACACCTGTTATTGGGTAAACACCTGAGCGGTGTCTAATTCCCCATGAGAGCTCAATTCTATGTCTTTAACCAAATACATGATAACTATGGATATAACTATTACACGATTTTAAAAGACGTTATCATGCACTGTTTTTTATGGTCTCCATTGTGTTAGTAAATGCCAGGAAAACATCACTTATGGGGGCTCGTGGACGATGCTCTGCATATTCCCTGGCATCCAATCAAGGTCATCTGTCTCTTCGTTCTCCGAAATATCTCACTCGTGACCGTCCAGGCGCCATTTTGTCTTTTCGGGCTGTTTTAGAAGTCTATCTTTCGGCCTACCTATCTTCACCATCCGATATGCTACAGAGTTATAACAAATTTCTCTAGATAGTCCGAGAGATGCTCTTTCGTCTGTTTATATGTAGAATCACGAGCGTCAATGCATGCAAATTTTCAAAAACGATTGCAGGTCTAGTTTAATTTAATGTTCAATAATCCCCCTTTCTCTCTCTCTCTCTCTCTCTCTCTCTTGCATACACACTTATTACTTGCGAACGCAGAGCAGCCAACTACACAGGTACCCACACAAACACATGCACATACACCCGCCCTTTCTCATTAGCCATCAACATGGGGATGGATCTCACTTTTAATGTCAAACTTTTAATATCATGTACAAACCCTTTCGCCGAATTTTCATTCAGTTGATACGAAACATTATTAAGTAAATTCTTAATATTTTCGATTTCATTTTTTTGATAAAAAGTGTGTGTTACTTTTTACCTTTACCTTCTTTAATTCACAGAACTAAGAAATGCACTGCAACGCAATTACGCACATTTTCCCCTCTCTATATCTTTCCCGCCTTCTTATTTTCAATTATTATTTACCCAGGCATGATTATGTGATTTATGTACCATTTAAAAATATTCTAGGTAACTTTAGAGTGTGCGGTGATGTTTGAACTTCAGGTTATGCTTTTCAAGTTGTCTTTTTAATGAGAAAATTAACTCAACTTTCCTTGAATTCCTTTTTCTTTTAAAATAGAAACTTGGCGAAAGGGATATGAACCACGTTGAAAGGAAACAATTCTTCTTTGACGTTAAGCCACTCGAGTCCGGGGAAAGCCAAAAGTATCTCAAATTCACCTTGGATCAAAAAGAGTCTCCCTCTTACCCGACACGGATTCGATTTATCTTGCCATATGATGGTACGTATGATGGAGGGGCCAAAAGTTACCCACTTTGAGCTGAAAGTCTAAAAGAATTCTAATTCCGTGATTTTAGAACAATGTCTTGTGGAAACTGGTTGACTTCTGAGAAAAATTACGACTGACAAACGTCAATAAAGTACGTGATTCACTTTCGATCCCCATTCCAAATATGTTTTACAAAATAAAATGGTAATAAGCTATCCACATGCAGCGCATGAATGCGATTCTTTATTTTACGGAAGACTATCAAATGTGAATTTCACCTTAAATTCAAACTATTAACGATCAAAATGTTTAAGAATGGAAAGTTATATATGTTGACAGATTGACATTGTAATGCTGTTAATTAGCTTCTTTTTAAAGGAGTCCTAGGACCAATAGATGTGTATCAATCATACTCAATTTGGGTTACATATAATTAATAAAAAGTGAGACAAATCAAATTTGTTCAAAATTATGCAAACTAAAACCAAACACTGACAGACCTGTTTTTTTGTTTAAACATAACATAAGCTTTATAAGCACAAACTAGACAAATTTCACATTGGCGTTCGAGTAAAGCCCATGATCAATGACTAAATAACCATTATGATGAATTAGGCATATACAGTATACACAAGTTAGTTTCAGTGTGGTACAGGGGATATAAATCATAAACTTAAAAGGATAAATAAAATCAAAGCTTTAAGATTTCTGTGCAAAAAAAAAGTCATCTGACACATTTTCTTCTTCTTCTACTGTTTATACTCGTTTGCTATGTTTGCCATGTTTGCTATCCTAACACAATTATAAAAGTAATGTTAACGTGAGCTTTTATTTAACAGAGTAGTGCCAGTTTAAATAGGATATAGTTATTCAAATATTTCGACACTAGATCAGGCATTGGGAGGAGTGTAGCACTTGAAATAATAGAAGCAAACAAATGAGTGTCTCTAAAAGAGTAGCAATATTAAATGTAAGTTTTTTAAGTTGTTTGCTACAATAGCTTTAAGACCAGCACCCGAAACCAGCCTCAAATATTAATCAAAATGGACTTGACTTTTAATTAATGTATATACTACAGCAGCAGGAGCACCATTCCTTCCCATGCATGCCAGTGTACAAGCAGCAGGTGTGCCAGCGCTACCAGGGTATGTAACCGATCTATAATATATTTGAAAGAGTAGGCCGAGTTGTGGCGAAAATGAAAAGCACTTTATGAACAATCTTGTTATGACGGTTTGGAAGAATATCATATTAGAAATGTCGCCTGAAATGGATTTCTCTTCAATGCCCTTTTATTTGAAATATTACATTAAAGAACAGAAAGCTTAGGATTATTATATTTCTCTTGGGTGTATCTTATATTTAGCAATAATTCGTCCATTTCTTTAGATTTGTATCATTCCACAAACTCAAAGTATGCTTCATTTCGTATATATTACATCATCAACCTTTCCCAATCGCTTCCACACAGTTTCTTTCACATCGTAATCTCAAGACCAGTGCTGCACTTTAGTGACATATAAAATGGGTTCTGAACGAGGTATTCTTTTAACTTAATAAGTTAATTAATAGAGAGGTATTTCTCGCCCTTATGACGGAGTTATTCAAGTTATTGAAAGGACCCCAAATTACATACTTCTAATGAGATATAGAATAGGGTAAATTGCCAGTAAAGTTCACGAACAAAAAAGGTGTGTTATTTTTATTTTTTTGAAAGAGCAAGTAAGCGCTAAAAAGGGTAACCTTTTCACGATAAAAGCAAACATGTGTATTCGTACGTACCCGTTTTTTGTGAAAACAAGATACCGTTTATGAATGTGCGCTCAGTAAGCTAAAACTTAATGTTACATTGGATGGCCCTTTTCGTACCCGTTTTTGTTTATTACGAATGAAGGCATATTTTTTGGATGCTATTCTTGAACATGTGCTAACAATCAGGAGGTTTCATGGTACACATTTTCATTCAACTTGACTCGTAATTCCATGGTTGAGGGTTTGAATCCCAGCCGGGCACGAAGGTCCTTTGACCAATTCATTTATTCACATTTGCTACTCTCCACCCGACTGCAAATTGGTACTTGGCAATTGCTGGGTAATAATAATAGTAGGTCCTTCAGGAAGTGTTATAGTAATGCAGCCGATGTGGTGTCCTAGGTATACCTTCTTTAAAATAATTATCATAATCATGATTATTTTTATTATTATTTTTATTTGTGTTAGCGTCATTATTATTATCATTATCATTATTATCATAATCATCATCATGCGTCAAACCTTTGACTATGAAGTAGCATCAATGAGTGGTAATCATATTAATCGTTTCATTCCCCAGGTTTGATCTCAAATCAGATGAAACATTTGACAGGCTGTCGAGACACATGCCTGCAGAGAAATACACATCGCTATGCACAGGTCTTGGCATCGAATACAACGAAGCCAACAACATCCTATGTGGGGCAACCAATGACTACCAGAGAGCTACTAGGTCTTGCTTGGCACACTGGCAAACAGAAACTGGTGGTAATATGGACCAACTGAAGACTATCCTTCAGGAGATAGGAGTCGGAGATCTAGCAAAATATATTGAATAGTCGTAATAGCTCCAGCAACTCAGTTGTAGTAGAGGAAGAAATAAAACGGAGGCTAGGGTCACTTTGTAAGGTGTGTCAATGTATATGCAATAAACCCATATACATAAGATGGTTGCAGCTTTCAATATGATGGGGCCCTTTGGACAAACATTCAAACTTGTACAGAATAACTGTTTCATCTTATTTTATGTATATATGTTGTAATAATGTTGGAAGAATATCGCAAAATATTTTGTTTTCTTTTCTAATTCTTCGAATTTGAAATATGACAAGATTTTGGACCAAAATACCATGCAACGTATATGTGCCCGTGTGCGTGAGTGCGTTTGTGTTTGTGTGTGTCTGTAGTTTGATATATCTATGTGGGCTGAGCATGCGACGTTCAGCAAGACTGAGTCAATTTCTTCTCAATTACTAAGGTATACAACACTGTTTGTGTGTATGGAACTCAATCATCTCTCGATTTTTCTTCAGACAATCGCTTGGCCAGACCTCACACATATCTGTAAATATTTGTAATGTTTTGAATGCATTTAAAACGAAAAGAAAAAAGGGTATCATATAATGGATTTTCTTTAGAGCCTGTCTGTACTAGTTTGGGCAGGAGGGATTATACCTCCCTGCGTAGTCACTGGCAGGTGGTTATCTCATCAAATGAGCTCTCAATTAACATAAGAAAAAGGGGATCATGGGGGACCAACAGGTACCGCTTAGGCATTGTTTGCTATATAGAGGACGCAAGTAGCTACAAGTAGTGCAGTCCCGCTTAAACGTGGCGGAAGCATATCAGGTACCCTACCATTATGACATAGCATTGTCATATTATTTGCTACATGTTTTCCTATGGTACATTTTGCGTTGAAGCTAATAATTTCTGTCTAATGTTTGTAATTATAATTCTGATGTTATCTATCTTATCGCGTCATATCTTATTATTCAATCTTGTTTCGTGTTACGTAATATCGTCATTGCTATTCCGATCGTATACACATTTTAAAAGTACTATCATTCAGTACTAAAATATTTATATCAAAATAACTTTGCTGAACACGAAAATATGAAAACTCTAAAAGAGGACGTAAATGTCTCATGGGCAGAAAATCAATTGGCTGTACATAGATATGGTGTTAAGAGTGAGAATGCAAATATTAATAATGCAAGGAACTTTCTCAATGTGTTAATCTGTTAATAACAAATACTGAACAGGTGAACATTCATTACCTTACGCATGTCATATCAATCGTTAATAATATGTTTACACATGAATGCTCAACTTATTAAAGTAAATACACATTACTCGCATCTACAGTATGCAGGCGTGCCTGTGTGCAAAATACCCTATGGGGCTAAGTTGGCATACCAAATCAATCAACTCTTTGCATGTGTATTTTTGATTCGCAAATGTATGTATTACTGTATAGCACTGGATAGATATAGATGGTCCTTAAAATCATATATATAGTCAAGTGCAATTATCAGGATGTATATTATAACAGTGGGGGAATTTCTTGAGATGATATTCTGAACATGATCTAAGAAGTAAAGTTGATATAACTTTTGATTTCATTTCAAAGTATGTAAGTTATCAATACTATTTCTTTGTCTTCCTCAATATATCACTAATTTACATTTCGATACCAGATCTTTCATTAGCTTAATAAACTTATACGTGCAAGAGTACATAGAGTTCACAAACAAAATGTTTAATAAATCATTTGACTATTCGTCTCGAATTGATGTTTCTCTCTCAAGCGTAAAGAGTTTTTTAAAGTTAGTCAAGATGCGGGGAGGGTATAATTATTATACAGTCAGAATGTAACCCATTGTCATCAACGGGTACGTGTACAGGCATTTATTTAACACCAGAGGGACGGAGCATATATTTCACCCTCGCCTTAACTAGAATTTTGGCTAGTGCCAGATTATGCAGGTTTGAAGGGAGAGGGAATGGGAATTTACACATGAATGATAATAAATGTAAAGAGAGAGGAGCATTTGTGAGAAATATTTGTTTGTGTGTGTGAGAGTATTAAAGAGAGAAGTATTTAGAAAGAGTGAGGGGGACTTAAGAGAGAAATAGAGAGAGAGAGAGAGAGAGAGAGAGAGAAATAGAGGATGAAGGGGTGGGGTCATGACACATTACAACTTGCATTGTTTAAATCGAGACGGTGTAAATGGTTATTTACTGAGAACATGAGCAAAGTGCCATAAATGATTCTAAATTTTTCTTCAACATAGGAAATGCAGGAAGCACGACAAAACAAAGTTAAACGACGATTGTATACGATGATATATGCTCAGTTACCCACTGTTAATATTCTGCCCTTAACGTATTCTCAACTTCAGCCCTGGATCCAAATATATACCTTACTTTCACCTTCACACTAAACCATATCTGAAACCCAATACCGACCCTATCCCTACCGCTATTCCTTTGTCGAAATAGCCCGGCTCTCTTTTTTCCTGGAGCAAATATTGAATAATAATAATAATAATAATAACAACATTTATAATGCGCACATATCCACCCCAAGAGATGCTCAAGGCGCCTAACAAGGTAAGTACATTGAACGAAAATGTACGAACTTGAAGGCAAACAAAACGGTGTAATCGATCACGTGTCTAATGCATCCTTAAAGTCGGAATAGGAATTCACGATTCGACATGGTGAGATTCGCAGAGGAGACCGGGTTTCACAACGATGCGGAAAATATATCCTGAAGTTCGAGGCGAAGATGGTTAGAAGCAACATATGGCTCCTGTGTTATCCTTTAAACATATATTTTAATAAACAAATACATTTAAACAAATGTATAAATAAATAACTTTAAATCTCTTGAAAAAAGAGCGCCAAGACAAATAGTATCAATTAACGAAGAGTGGTAACGAAGAGTGGTTAGCAGAGGCAGCCCTCCGGGGGGGGGGGGCACAGTGCTCTCCCATTTTTCGCATGACCATAACTGGTATTTATCTTTAATACCCATTCCTGCATCTAAACAGGCATTAACAGCAACAGAAAAGCATTTTTAAGGGACCAAGGGATGTACAAAGGGTTGTCCGAAGGATATATAAATTCGAGGAAGAAGGAAGGAAGTATATTATATATATATATATATATATATATATATATATATATATATATATATAAAGAGAGAGAGATATAGAGAGAGACCCGCTGGGATTAGAAGAAGGGTCACTTGAGGCCAATAGCGTACTTTGCCATACCCTTAACGGGATTGGGTAACTTTGTCTCAGATTCTGAACAAAATCCTGGATTTAGCTCATAATGCAATCATGATTATAATATTTTAGGTCAGTCAGAAATCCCATGACATTTAAATGTACAAGCCGGCGCCTGGCTGATTATCAAGATATTTTATGATTGGAAATCGAAATTTAAAGGTTCGTTTTCTTAACGGTTTTCATAACACTGCAGTCTATGGGAGAAATGAGTAGGGTAAAACTGGTTACTCAAAGATTTTTACTTTTTTGAGGCACTTCATGATCATTTTGGAGCGCATTTTTTTTAGGGCTTCAATATCAAAGACGCTGATAACACGTGGGACCATGCATTTCAGATTTAACATTGTTAAACGATGCATTTAAAAGGGAAGTCCAGGCCAGAAGGAAATTAGATAGGTAACAATCCACCATACCCAAATATATGTTTGTTTTGGGAAACTATGATCAAGATTATTTTAATTGATTGTCTAATTTGCAAAAACATGTTCGTGAACGAGAGTTTACAGATATCACATGGTACAAATGACCCCATATATCCACAGATCGTTTACACATGGAGAAGTTCCACTTTGAGCATCTTAGAATAATAACTGCCAAAGTCCTAGATGTGCTTCATGAATACCTTTTGTTTGTCCTCTTGAAAAGAATACTTCAACCTGCGTATCATAGAATGTACCGTTGGTGCATAAATGAATAATGTTATGCTAGGAGTCCACTGGGCCGGCGCCAGTTGGCGCCAGTGCAATTTACTGTGGCGCCTAGTGTCGCCAATAAGGTGCCTAGTGGCGTGTAGTGGCTCAAACTGCCTCCCAACTGGCTCGTGGTGGCCCGTAACGGCACCAAATTTGAATGTGGCGGCAAGAAAATTTCAAAATGTTTGAAATTTTCGTCGCGCCACTTGCATCGAGCAATCAGCGCCAAGTGTCCGCCAAGTGGCACAAAATGGCGCGAACATATCGCCCTTTAGCGCAAACAATCCGCCTATTGGAATCCACTGGAATGTAATGGCGCGCGCCAAGTTGCGCCAATGAGATTTCGCGCACACATGGCGCCACTTGGCGCCATGTGGCACCTTGTTTGCGCCACTACGCGCCAAATAATTCCAACAGAGGCGGATAGCCCGCCAAAGCGCGCCAAATGTGCAGTGGCGCGAGCCAAACGGCACCCGATTGGTGACTACTTCGCGCCAAATGCCACCTGGTTGCCCGCCATTCGGCGCCACTTGCCGCCTATAAAACCAGGGCGGCATCGCAGGGAAAAAAAGAAAAAAAAAATCTACTTGGAAAAGAAGAAAACTGCTCAATCATTTTAGCCTTTATAAAAGGTAATAATAAACCCCGGATAATAACGATACAAATAAAGTGAGCCTGAAAGAAGACAACGGTAAGATCGATAGTACGTCCACAATCTAGGCACTACAGCTTGCTGTATGCGATACACCCGCGGGTATAAGGTCGTAATATACAGGCAGCAAGCAAAAGAGTAACACCACGGTGTTTACGTGGTAAGTGGTTTCAATATTTTTAATCCTGCATTTATTATTGGAGATTTACAGTTGACCATTTTCTCTATAGACACTTCACCATTTCTTCATCCTTTTGGACACATCTATATGTTTTAAATAATAACTTCTTCGTTTCAGCCACACTATAGCCTCACCCTTATAGGCTTCTGTATTCAACGCGAATACTAGATAGATGATCTTTATCTGGAATCTTAAATGTAGATCTACAGTAAACCACGCAATTATTCATAACCTTAATAATTGTTCAAATTATTTAAATATTTGACAAATTGATTTGTCCCGATGCATGTTTCTTGAGAATGTGTCATATTAAGCTTACATCTAGAAGCGTTTAAGTACGGGCCCAATTCAACCAGTACACCTTAGTTTCATTCTTGAGTTATAAAAACAACAAAAAACATCAGGTTTACAACGGTTAAAAATTATTATCTTCATGTATTTCCTGGCAAATTACTAGTGGTAATTATTAACCATGCCTCATTTCTTGCCCATTCAGTATCAACTAC